TGTCAGTTGGCCAGCGAGATCGCTACGGTTCCGGGCAGCTGGCAGATGGCACGACCGTCACCCGCAGCTCTCACGAGGAGGGCGTTCAGCTCAGGGCAGGCGCGGACCTTGAAGAACTTAGTCATTGGTTGATGCGCCTCTTTTGGTGTGCTTTGTCAGACAGCGTTGAGCTTGCTCAGGCTTGGGCACGGCGCTTGCGGCATCTGGCAACCCGAGCGCTTTGCTTTCGGGACTGGGCAGCGCGGTGGGCATCTCGGGCAACATTGGGGTCACGGAGCGCGCTCACCTGGCGCAGCGACCTGATGGCAGCTACTCGCAGCATGCGGAGGCAGTTCATGGTTTCGCTGGTGGTGTGGACGTCGTGGGCGCCCCGCAGAGAACTGTATGGCTGACCGTTTTCATACTTGACTTTGTTTCGATGCGGCTTCATCGGTTAGTGACTAAGCCAAGCCCCTGACGGCAGAAATCTCAGGAGTGGAGAAGCTGAACCTGGACACTGGCCGCGCGACAGTCAGTAGCAAGGAACATGAGAAGGCCGCCCTTTGCGGCAGTCGCACGACAGAGACGCTGGAGGAGCCTCGTGTGCTCTAAGGTGTGTCCAGGTGTGTGTGTGTGTGTGTTTTTTCTTGCATCTGCTCAGCTATCAGCTAGCGGCTAGCGAAAACCGAAGAGCCCGATTTTCGCAGGGTCCCTCGAGCCGAGGAGGAACTCCGCGTCTTGGGCCAGAAAGTGGCGTCGCAAGAGCTGAGGTTCAAGCACACGCAAGAGAACTTATTCGGTTCTAAAGAGGCGGGCAGTCTAGTCCAAAAGCCCCATAGGGAGCCCTTGAAGCGCCTGGCCTAGCCTTGTTTCCTCAGGTGATGCTCGACTGCTGGACCGGGCAAGTGGTGGAGAAAGCCGACGGACTGCTGCTCACCACCACCCAGGAAGGCTCAGGAACTGTTGATCGGTCCTCTGGGAAGGCCCACTTTGATGGAGATGCTTCTTGGAGCATTGGTGTCCGACAGGAGGTCAAGGATGCAGCTGGCAGGGGTATTGAGGTGGGAGGGCTTGAGATGCGGCGTGCCAACGAAGAGCGGATCTTCTGCTGTGATGAAGACGCCGCTCAAGCACTGAAGGGCGCTGGTTCGCAAGTTCTTCGACAGGGTGCTGTCGGTGTAGTTGGCTTGCTTGCTGGCGAGGTGGTCGGGAAGGTCGCAGGTAGCAAGGCTGCCGGAGCAATGCTTGGCGAGGCTGCCGCCGGTGGCGTGGCGATGCTTGG